GGTCAAAGAACTCCACATAGTAGAAATTTCCGGAGCTCTCCACTGCGGCATCTCTCATCATAATCTTAGCGTGGTTTTGAGATGTTAAAACCCCACATATCAATCAAATCAAGATCACGACAGTGTGAACTTATGCTGATTAATATTATTTTTGTGACATGCACAGAATTGTCCACCAGGAGAACCAGGAACAGTGTATGACGTTTTTAGGTGCTCAACAGATAACATTTATTGCAAACGCCGGGAGAGGCGAAAAAACAACTGGCTCCTCCATCAAGGTAGCACAAATGCCCAGACATCAGTTGTTCATAGACAGTACTTTCGTAACCACACTATTCATCAGAACTCATTCGTTCTAGCTTCTGTTTCCTGAGGTTTAACTTTAGGCTGTAAGGACATCGGTTTTACACTGTTCTGAAGAGATTCAGTCAGAATCACTGCCAGTCCTCAACATGTTGCGGCCTAGAGAGTTGTACGAATGCATGGGATTCGGCAGAAATGCTGCGATTGATGTATTCATGCTCGAGGTATTGTTGCTTAATGCCCCTAGAAAAAAATATCTCTATGTTTACTCAGCAAGCCTATTCGGCTTTCAAGGAGACTAATTTGAAGGTGACAGTGTTGATTAGACATTGCAGTGATGGAAGTGGTGGTCCAATTGCTCCAAACTGCTCCAAAAAAGAAATGCTGCTCCAAAGCGCAAGCTAGTAACTGCTCCAAGCGTGCTTCGAAAGGATGTTGGAAAACTAAAAAGAAAGAAGTTGAACCATGGGACCGTCCCGTGATATGAGTGTAACCAAAAGCAAGCTGTATGCACTATCATCCTAGCATGCTACTCAGTGGCGTAAATCTAGAAAAATCTCGATGGGCGACACATATAAGGCCGGTTGTATTTTTATAAGAATGAAGTCATGCTTTCAAATAAAAATTAAAAAAAAAACGAGCATGGGGTCCGAGCTCGAGCGATTGCGTTGTTCTATTGAGTCTCTTTCATCACCTTTTTTCGCTTTTCGTAATTCACACAGCTTAGGGGCATTTAACACGGGTACGCAGTAAAAGATGAAAAGCCTTTAAAAAAGTCGATTGCACTCTACTCAATTGTTAACTCAAATATATCTCGTACTAAAACTAAATCTCAGGTGGGACACTTGCAAAGGGTGTCCTTTACAGCCTGAACACAAGAAAAGTCCAGGCTCTCTTGACTCTCTTCCCCCCCCCCCCCCCCCCATGATTTATGCCAACTTTACCGCTTGTATACTAGTTGCATACTAGCATACGTCATGTTCAATGATAAATGTCAATATTTATTATACCAATAGCAACTCTTAGCTATAGCATTTTTCTTCTCTGACGACACTTAAGGCTGCTCCAAAGCACCTTTTTTTCTGCTCCAGAATGTGTTCCACAATGTGCTCCAGGAAGCAAAATGTCACTTCCATCACTGACATTGGTATGAATTTTTTTTCCCACTACTGAAATCCTTACCACGTAATATATAGGTTACTAATTGGCTCATTCCTCCTTTCATACTTGACAGGAAATACTGTACAAGCGTCCAAAGCAAGTACAGTCGCAACCATAAGTTTAGGGACGACACAATTGCGTGGCAGTGTGCGTGCACACGCTGTCTGACGGCCAATTATTTACTGTCAAAAGTTTCGAAGTGGGCGTGCATGGCCATTATAAGCTGCCAGCCTGCTTGCTCGCTCGCTGCGCACCAGCACGTGGGCCCATTATAGAAATTGCTGATTGCTGTCGCTAGTAATGGCGACGTCACAGGAGCCACAGCACGAACTCGGCCCTTTCGCAATAAATGGAAGGGTCTCCTAGCAACGAGGGTTGAGACGTCTTCAGAGCATGTACTATTTCATGGTTCTTGTGAAAGGGAGTGCTGTATATTTGATAATGATTGATAAATGATATGTTGGGTTCAACGTCCCACAACCACCATATAATTATGAGAGACGCCGTAGTGAAGGACTCCGGAAACCCCAACCACCTGGGGTTCTTTAACGTGCACTCAAATCTGAGAACACGGACCTATAGCATTGCCACCTCCATCGGAATGCAGCCGCCTCAGCCGGGATTCGATCCCTAGACCTGCGGGTCAGCAGCCGAGTACCTTAGCCACTAGACCACCGCAGCGGGGCTGCGGTATATTTGTTGATATATGCGCTATCCGAGATATTTGTTGCTATACAGGGTTCAAGAGAGCAGAGCTGGTGTAGAGGTTGGCCATCGACAGATCTACCATTTGCTTTTTTTTCTCCACCGGCCCTCATGGCAGCATGCTTGCGTAAGATGACCAGCAATACACAAAATTCACTACATAGTTCTCCTCACGGTATCAGAATTTTCAAAGAGCGTGTTCGTTCACCGATGGGCAGACGTGATGACACATTGAAAATATGTGAGCATAGTTGATTGAACGTTCAGCGATAGTGATCTGCGCTTCAAACTTGTTCAGTAGTATGTAGTTCAGAAACGGTGTCGAAATCATACCAAGAATTCGAGGGTGTCGCCCTGCTGCCTCGTGATGAAGTACAACTTCCGATATTCAGCCCGTGCACCCGTATGCAGCAAGTGATCAAGCAGGCCGGTGGGATTGAATAGACTGCGCATGCAGGCTGTGGTACTCTTGACGGCAGGCAACAAACTGTTAGATAACCTGCGCAAGGACACTGCCATGCGATCACGACTGTACCTGTCATGGCATCTTATTGACAATGTTGTTGTGCTCCTGTGGGCATATGTTTGATCCTGATTAAGGTGTGAAAACACATCTGTTCTTAGAACTAGTGAACCCAAAGGACTTGAGTTTGTTAAAGGGGCCATCTAACACTTTTCAAGCCTCCCATTATTTATTTGCGAGTTGCATAAATTGAGGGATGGATTTATAGATACAGTTAGAGCAGCTGCATGCAGTCTTAAGATTTTTGAGCTTTGAAAATCGGTATTGTTGAAAATTGCATGCCCTCAACAATAATTTTGCGAGGTCTCATGTCTTCGTTTTCGTTAGCCACAGATGTCAGTCAGTGTTGTCAATGGTTGAGGTGATAAGTAGCAAAAGTTTTCACGACATGAGTTCATTTGTGTTGTCTAGCATTCAGATCACTTCATTAGCTCAGTAATAGACAGCATGAAGTCAGCGTCCAACAAATGGCCGGTAAGGGAAAAGCTGTCTTGATGGAATGAGATAAGGGCTATTGTGAAGGCATGAATCTGGTTTGTGACATATTTTCTTGAAGGAGGAGGGAGGGATGCACAGTATGTTTAATTTTGACTGATCAAAATGAAAATTTCAGAAGATACCACACCTGTGGGAATTCTATTTCATGTCAAGCATTCAGTGAATATCAATTGTATGTTGCATTTTTTTCTTTCAACCAAGTTTTTCTGGGTGAATTGAGGTCTTTGTGTAAGTTAAGTAGCTGCGCACTTATCCATGGGCTTACCAAGGAAATTCACAATCCTGGTGATGAAAGGTAGCTTACGGTCTGATGTTTTGTCTGCGCTCTCAATAGAGCAAGACTCATTAAAACGAAAGGAATGCTATGGTGAAACAGTGTGCACATAGGAGTTTAGGTTGCGACGTTTGCCTGCGGAGTGAATCGGCACTGGACTTTGGCTTGCAGTTAAACATGTACATGTGTAAGGTTCGTTACATTATTCTAAATGAGGATAACTACTATTGGCATTGCCCTAACATGGAGCCTGCATAGGCTCTATTCCAAAGCATTTTCAAGTATACTGGTGTAGCTCTGTGTTGAAATACTTGATTGCCACTTGAAGTTCTTGGGTTTGATTCCAGGTTCAACCGGGATTTTTACTCTTAGTGTTCATTGTGGTTTTTCACTCACCAAAAATGCCACTGACGCCGGCACTGTATTTTTTTTTACACAAGCTTCATAACGCCATTGCGTTAAGGTTTCCAAGCAGGCCAAAAAAGAAAGTCGCTACATATTATGGTATTATTGAACATTCAGCGAAAATCTGTGGTGCGAAAGCGACCACTGGTGAGGCACCTATGCAGACATTCACCCGTGCTGCTTGGCCGCATGTCCGGCTTAATGATCATACCTTATCTCTATGAGTACGCCAGGCGAGAAACTTTTGATGCTGGTTCATGGCCGTTTTCAAAAAAGCTGCCAATGCACACTACCAGCTGAGAAAACCGACTAGTGGGAAAGAAGGTGCAAGTTTTCCAATCGGGTAGTGTGGCAGTTCACTCCCCTTCAGTCATACTACTTTCGCTGCTGTCTATCACAAGCTTTAGCAAATCCCACGGTACGGTGACGACATCTGTTCAGTGTTTGGGAAAACATACATGGGGGGAAATTTTTTCTTTGAAGAAAAAGAGTGTGTGTGCCCAAAAGGGCTGGAAATGAACCCCAGTGTCCAGTATACTTTTGCATAGCAGCCAAAAGAGCTAAGTTAGGCAAAGTGACCATGGGGGGAAATTTTTTCTTTGAAGAAAAAGAGTGTGTGTGCCCAAAAGGGCTGGAAATGAACCCCAGTGTCCAGTATACTTTTGCATAGCAGCCAAAAGAGCTAAGTTAGGCAAAGTGACCCGTCATATTCGTGCAGGCTGAAGCCTCATGTGTGCTCGCACAGACTAGCACCACACTTCATTCTGGTGTACTAGTACAAAACTCTGTGGCCACGACGTTGGATTCAGTTGTAGCTATTGCATATTTCACAAATTTGAGAGCAGGCAACTTGTGGGATCAGGGTTTCCACAGTTGAGTATTTTCATGTTTCTTGAGCCTCAGTTGCTTTACTTAGGTAGTATTTGGGGTTTTACGTGCCGAAGCCACGTTATGATACTGGGGCGTGTCATAGTAAAGGGCACCACAAATTCAGCTGCTTATCTGATACCGGTGAAACTATCCAAGTTTGGCAGAGCCTTCGGTGTACTATGACCACGGTGGCCACTGCGTGCGATTCTGTTTTCAGTAGCACGTTGTAAAAGAGTCGTGTTCTTTATTTCTCTTTTATAGAGCCCTTGCTCAAGAAAGAGAAGACCGATGCCAACCAGGCTCCGACACTAGAGCCCCAGAGTTTGTTGGGGCCTTCTCTGCCCGGTGCCATGCCCTCACTGACGCCTGTGGCTCCTCGACAGCCGCCCACTGCTCTGCAAATGCCGGCCAGTAGCAGTAGCAGCAGTAATGGTGCAGCATACTCCCTCCACAGCCCTTCCGGCTTGCCAATGGGTGGCCCCTCATCGTTTTCTCCAGCCATGGTTCCCTTCCAAGGATTGCTCACACAAGCCCCAATGCCAGATCCAGCCCTGACAGCCGCCTACACAGGCCTCACCGGCCCACTGGGCAGCCTGTCTGCCAACGGCAGTGTACCTGCCAGTGGCCGACCTCCAGTGGTTGCTAGCCACAGCAGTCTTCCTCAGCAGCCCTCGCGGCCCACGGCCACTGCAACAGCGGCGCCTGTCAAGAAAAACCCACCACACCCGACGCGGCCCTCCACTAACGGTGAGCCATCACGTTTCACGGAAGAGCTTTGCATGCACGGGTACAACAAGGCGTATAATGTTGCAAACTGGAGAAGCAGCGATTGTTTGAATCAATCAAGCATCATGCTAGATCGATTCAGACGGTGAAGCTTGTGATTTCCATCTGCCCTTTTGGCTGAATGTTCAATAATACCATAATATGTAGCAACTTTCATTTTTTTTTCTTTTTTTACTGTATTTTAAAGGTTTTTAATTTATGTGCAGTTGGAACAGGTGGAAGAGTGCATGCAAGGTATCCAATGCCTGCAAATTAGTGCGGGAGCCAACCTGTGCCTTCATTCACATCACTAGAGCAGAAAGCTGGTCTAATTTGTTTCATTGGCTCGACATTTTAATAAAACTAAAAAACAACACACAAAGTGCATATAAGTATTATCTAGGAAGCTTGTCTGCTCGCCATTTCAAAACTACCTTTCAGTACAGATCAGGGCTTTGGCAGCACTGCCTAATTTATGATGAGTACAGAGGCAGTGTGCTTGTGTAGCATATACAGTTAAACCTGGATATAACCAAATCGATAAATTCCCTGAAAAAATTTGTTATAAAGAGGTTTTCGCTATACGGAGGTTTGGTATGAAAATTTGGAAAATAAATGTGCAAATTATACAATAGGGGGACTGAAGGCAGAGCTAACCCCAAACACTCATTTTACAGTAAAAACTGCGTTGTTATTGCAATAGCAATTATATGGACACTTTCTGCGGGTTCTTGCTGTCCCCGCCATGTTCCGCAACAAGTCCAAATCGACAACATGCCCCTGCGCATTGTAACTTTCACAAGCGAGTAAAAGCGCGCGAGCGCTGCTGAAGCAGAGATCAAATGAGTTGGCCCATCCTTATCGCCTGGAAAGTGCATAATATCTCCCGTGTGTTGGAACTGTCATCGAATGCTCAAACAGAAAATAAACCACCTGTCTTAAACGAGCATGAAACAACGTGTGGAGGGGGGGGGGGGGGGGGATCGCTCGAGTAGCAATAATGAACTTGAATTTTAAGGGAGGCCGCAATCGCTGGCGTGCTTGCTATCTCGGTGAGTAGCAGTGTGGTTTCAACGCAAAGGGACTGTGTGGAAAGAGCAAACGCAATCGTTCCGGTCAATGTCAAAGGCGGGCGATTATCCCCACCGAAGGATAAGCGCGCGCGCACAACCATCTACCCCCCTTTCCCCCCTCCGCATTCGTGGGGCAAAAAAACGCCCGTCGGCACATGGTGACGAGCCCAGCGCGGGCGGCTTTCTTTTTCTTCTTGAGTTTCTATATATATAGGTAGTATACATATACTATACATATGCGGTGAATGAAGGCGGCGGCGGCAAAAACCCAGCTGAAACTGCCCACACACGTAACGCATTAAAAAAAAAGCAAAGCTGAACGTCATTGGTGGACACATCATGCGCGCGCAGTGAAACTATGCATGTGCGCACGGCCTTGAAAACGAAGAGCAAGACACAGTTACAGCAGAAAGCATTGGGTAAAGCGCCCTCTATATGCCGAGCGGCCCCACATATGTGACACTAACTAAAAGCGTGGCATGCCAACGCAAAAGTAGTTTTTTTTAATTTTAGTTGGTGGGGGGTGGGCACACTCTCGCATGCGACCGCGGCGGCAAGAAAGGGGGCGATGCCGGCTCGTAAGGTGCAGGCCCGCCTTCCGCTTCATGCTTCGGCGGCGGCGGAACAGCGGCAGAAGATGCATGCTCTTACCAAAATGCCGAAATGCGGAACAAAATTCCAAGATTTTTCGTGGGGAAAATTCGTTATATCACGGTTGTCTCCCGCAGTTACTTTGCTACTTCCTTCAGAGGGACGGCGGGGAATAGAAAAACTTCATTATATCCAGGAATTCATTATATGGAGGATGGTTATAAGCAGGTTTAACTTTAATATAGTTCTAGGTGTAACTGTTTCATCATTAATGAGATACAGGGGTTTTAGCTTTGCTCATTTTAGCCTGACTCGTTGCTGAAATGCATTATGTCCTCCAGTGCATGCACTTTGCATTCACTGAATTACTGTAGTGCTTACCGGCTAGTAATCGTAATAGCTACCCTAACCACGATGACGTACAGCAACAGGCCCCCATATAGCCCAGAGTGCCCACTTTTATCTAAATTCATGGTATTCAATGGCTCTCTACTTGGACAGCAAGAAATAAGTAGTACTATAATCTGTATCGCTTAGTCTCATTTAATGCTGAGGCCAAAGCATCAGATATCTTTCGTCTGCATTGTTTAGATTAATGGTTGTTTTGATGGTGCTAGTACTATCGAGGCAGTGCCAAGCTGTAAAAGTAGTTTGGTGTCAACTGAGCTGAGGTCTCCATACTCTTTATAATATGAGGTGATGCATTCACCATGCGAAATGCTTTGAGTGCCTGTAATCGTTTACGCAACTCAAGAACGGTTCGTGAACTGTAAAAGCTCTATTATGAACGCTTTTATGAATAGAACCGCTTTCCTATCACACGCCAGCTAATGTGTCCTGTACGAGTGGGTTTCTGCACATTGAAGAAACGCTGAGGTCAGTGAGACACCAAACCATTGGTTAACAGACAGTGTGACGCAAATGAACACATCTTGAGGGGCTTTTGCTTCTTCTATTGGCTAACAAGCTCTACAGTTTCCACCGTGCTGCAAGGTACCACTGAGATGCAGTACAGGTATTATCACACATGGCACATAAATAGCTAATGGTCTTCAAAACAAAAATAACAAGCCAATGCCACAGTGTCACCTTGGTCACTCAAAATTTGGAGCCTAATCCCCATCTCTTCTCGAGTTAACCCTTTTGTTTTTGAGCAGATAGGCTTTAAAAGGAAGGTTGAAGATTCTACAGCACCCATAAGAAACTATTTGGGTTTTCAGAGGCCAGAAAGTTTGACAGCTTCTGGTCAGTGACTTATCAAGATGATGTGCGACTTGATGCGTTGAACGCACAAAGGAATGTTTGTCTATGCAGTGGCTCCTTCGACCGTGTCCCCAGTGGCATCTCCCCAGGAACCAGCCCCGCCGGCGGCCTCGCCTCCCCTGACCAATGCCGACGCTGCTGCACCCAAAGGGTGCCCACAAAGCCCCTCCTCACGAACTGCCCCTCCAACGTCTGAGGCAGCCCTCAAGCTGGACGACCTGTTTACACCTGCAAACCTGAACAGTGGAGCACCCCCGACCACAAGTCAGTGCCTGACATTGCATGTACTATATGAGGACGTGTTGTATGCAGCTATGCTGCTGCTTGTACAGTAACTGGCTGTCTCTGTAAAGCAACTGATTTAGCTGAGTTGTGTACAGATCAGCAGCGCATCCATGCAGGCTTTGCTCACTTTGCTGCCTGATATTTTATACTGGCTTATAACACGCGAGTCGTTGGGGGCAATAGTATGCTTCTGCACTATGCTTCCTGCACTATGCTTCTACACTATGTTATCTTGTAGCGCGTAGACAGGATAACCGCTGGTCATTAAGGGTAACTAACTGGATTGCCAGAGAAGGGAAGCGGGTTAGGGGGAGACAGAAGGTTAGGTGGGCAGATGAGATTAAGAAGTTTGCGGGTATAAATTGGCAGCAGCAAGCACAGGACCGGGTTAACTGGCGAAACATGGGAGAGGCCTTTGTCCTGCAGTGGACGTAGTCAGGCTGATGACGATGATGATGACACTATGCTTATTGAACAGGCTAGTTACCAGTTGATTTGGCTTAAAGATGGAGGGACATTGACAGGAATACTGTTCAGTTCACGCCGGGCGAGGAAGGCACTCTTTCTCCGCCGGGCGAGGAAGGCACTCTTTCTCCAATACCCATAACTTGGCATGCAAGAGCTCTCCAGCACTGTACAGTGTCTTTCTTGACAGTAGGGCGACTTCTCTAAAGCAAAATATGGGCCGGATTTATGTATTCATTGCAAAAATGAAAATGCATTGATATATTAGACATCTGTTTATTTTCTTAATACTTTTTGATAATTTGGCATTGGATTCATTAGGAAATCTATCTGGTGTATGTAATTTCAATGAACAACCTTTACTATGTAATAAATCTAGAAAACGATTTTTTTTGCACGATCTTCCCTCCCTCATTAAAAGCAACCCCAGAAAAGTTTTTCAAATTATTGTTTCTCCGAGTACCCATGATGACATAGTGTTATTGGACAGTAGTGGAAACCCTGTTGCGCAAAAGGACCGCTCAGGTATGCTAAATAATTATTTCATGACTGTGTTTACTAAGGAAGACCACTCTGATATGCTGCTGCCTTCTGAAGTAAGCTGTGAATACATGGCACCAATACTCATTGCCTCCCAAGGTATATCATCGTTGATAAACAAACTTAAATTATCCAGTACAGTCGAATCTCGATAATTGAAACTCGAAAGGGCCTAAAAATTTGTTCAAATTAAAAGAAGTTCAAATTAATGAAAGCTAAATGAACGGAGGGCTCACCATGCACTGGGGCATGTGCATTGAGCTAACACACGAGGGAGAAGTTTCAGAAGACTTACATTTATTTACAAATCACAGGACATTCGTCATTAGTTGAATTAATCGGTGATGCGCATCTGCACACGCCTTGCAGCGAGTGAATTTCGCACGCTGCTTGCAAAGCATTTCTACTTCAGCTTCAGCATTCTCTTGGCAAAAGAAGATGCACGCAGTATTGTCCAGGGCCGACACTCTCTGCAGGTGACAACGACTGCGTCTCCGCTATGCAGCCACAGCTTGGCCAGCGCGTGACGAGAGAGGAGGAGCGTCTCCACGCAGAGAGAAGCAAATCGGCATTTGAGAGAGAACCAACACTCTGTGGAAGCTTTTTCTTTTTTGCTCTCTTCGCATGCGTTGTTGAAAGGAGGGCGGTCTACGTGGCAGCGACGGGAAAAGGGGAAGCGTGGCACCGGCGTGTGAGAAAGAGCCAACACTCCGCGACAGCTTTTTTTCCTCTCTCGCACGCGGCGTTGAAGGGGGGGGGGGGGGTATCTTAAATGAGAGAAAAAGAAGATAAAAGTGCGCCCCGTAACTGTATGCATCTAAGTGCGACACCTCAACAGTGGCTCACAAGGGCAGGGGATAACGAGCAATAAGGATAAGGAAGGATAGGTTGTTTCATTACAGCTTTTAGCCCAGGAGACCATCCAGAATGTATTGTTTTCGTTTTATTCTGAAAAATAAAAAGACACAAAGAAAGAAAAGGGATGGAGTGAGAAGTAAGGATAGAATAGAGGCGAAGGAGTCTGAGGACGGGATACCACTCTGCGAAAGCTTCACGGCGTCAGGAGATGGCGGAGGCCGAGCCGGTCGGCCAGTGCTGAAGGGTCTTTACATGGCAGGGACGGAAATGGGAGAAGAGTGGCAGGCGTGTCGCAGATCGGCATTTGAGAGAGAGCAAACATTCCACCGCAGTCTTTTCTTTTCCTTCGCGCACACCGTTGAGGTGTTGGAGGTGCCGCCGTGAGATTGGGCGTGGTGCTGAGAGCAGTTTCGCAGCGCAGTATGTTCGAATTAACTGTCGCAAGTGCTCGCGCGTTCGTATTATGGGGCATTTTTGCCCATTGGAATACAGATAGCTTTGACGGGACCTCAGCGTGAGTTCTAATTAACCGGAAGTTCGAATTACGTGGGTTCGAATGATTGAGGTTCGACTGTAGCTTCGGCATAGACGATACTATTTCAGAAATCCTGAAAAACACCGTCAGCCCTTCTAGCACTATCTGGTCCTACATATATGAACAATCCCTATGAACAGGGGAATACTTAACGATTGGAAGGGGGGGGGGAATCATTTTTGTCTTTAAGACCGGTGATAAACAATGTGTCACGAACTACAGACTCGTATCACTAACAAGTATACCATGCAAAATGCTCAAACTTATCATTGCTTCCAATACTGCTCAATTTTGAGGAAAAAAATTACTTCTTTTTGCAAATCCCCAGGATTTCAGCAAAGGACTGTCATGTGAAACGCACCCGTCGAATTCACTCGTGAACTACACCAGAATATGAACGATGGCTTCCAGACAGCTTGTGTATTCATCAACTTTTCCAAAGCCTTTGATTGCGTAGCTCATACCCGCCTGCCATTCTGAAGCAGGTGAAGAAGCTCAGGGTCAGGCGCGTCGTTAGTTGTAAAGGTTGTCTACAAAGAGCTCTCTGCTCGCGCAGAAAAGCATGTATGCAGTTCAGTAACACCGAAAGTTGGGCGAGTTGGTGATAGTTCATGATTACAAATAAGCAGCGCACGACGTTTTACAAAAGAGAGACGATAGGGACACCGCTGCACTCTCAACTAGTTTATTTCGTAAACGACTTTGGTTATTATACAACAAGACGGTGTACCACGTGCTACAATGACAACGTATTTTCTAAAAAGCCAACTTCGCAATCGCTCAAAGTAATCGATGCTTGGCTTATACAGTAATCTTTTCTTTTTGCGATGTGGAAGGCCTCGATCACTTCCCTTGTCATCTTATCTCTGTGGCTGGAAAGAATTTTAGTCTCAGAGAACAGCGGGGAACAGCCACATTCTAAGCAATGCCGTCTTAAGTGCGAGTAAGCATTATTAGCTAAAGCTCTCTTGTGCTCCGTTAACCTTGTATTTATGCACCGGCCCGTTTGACCGATGTACATTTTCCCACATGACATGAGCAAACAGTAAACCACCGCGGTTCTGCACTCAACAAACGAAACAATGTGCTTAACAGAGCACCGACACCTATCCTTTTTTGTCAATCGCTTCCTATCTAGCCTAGCGCATATCTTTCCTAGTTTGTTAGGTGCAGAAAAAACAACTTGTAAGCCATACCGGCTGCCTACATTCTTTAGATTATGTGATACACTGTGCGCATAGGGTATGGAGACACATTTCTTTTTCTTTTCTTCATAATTCCTCTTAATTTGAGGCTGCTCCAAAGATATATTCTTGCGCTAAAATTCTTTCCAGCCACAGAGATAAGATGACAAGGGAAGTGATCGAGGCCTTCCACATCGCAAAAAGAAAAGATTACTGTATAAGCCAAGCATCGATTACTTTGAGCGATTGCGAAGTTGGCTTTTTAGAAAATACGTTGTCATTGTAGCACGTGGTACACCGTCTTGTTGTATAATAACCAAAGTCGTTTACGAAATAAACTAGTTGAGAGTGCAGCGGTGTCCCTATCGTCTCTCTTTTGTAAAACGTCGTGCGCTGCTTATTTGTAATCATGAACTATCACCAACTCGCCCAACTTTCGGTGTTACTGAACTTCATTTCCTTTACATCGGGCTCTTTTATATGTTCTGGCTTCTTCAATCAACTTGACCCGTGTACCCTGGCTTCAATGATGGCGATTTGCGTGTGCAAGGCAAGAGAGGCTTCCTGGCATATAAGGTATAATTTGTGCCCCAAGGAACTGCAGGTCATGTGTGGTTTCTTACAACCTTCGTCTAAGCACGCCAAACGTATATGCAGGATTTTGAATGAGGAATGGTGGCGGCAAGCGAGGCATTTCAAGGATTGTCTCAGAGTAGTGTGCGCCACACAACAGGGAGGATCGCACAACAAGTCCTTCAGGGATTGGTGTAAGACGTCTGACAAAGTAGCGGACTGGTTATGGGACAACAGCCGGCCACACTTACCTAGGCCAAAAAAACCCAAGCCAACGGATGGAAAAGTCATCACCTTGGGAGACTGTGCCATTCCTAAAGACTACAAGAAGATTCTCGGATTAGGACCAAAGTTCTGCTTTGAACCGTCCTTTACCCCACCGGAGAAAGTGGCGCTCACCAAGAACCTTGCTCGTCGTGTGTTAGAAGAAGAGCGCCCACGCTTCATCACGGAATGCGTGGATGTTCTAAAGAGGACGTCAACCACAAGCGGGAAGCAACAGCACGTAAGAACTTTGGTGGACTTTGGCATTAGCAACAATTTGCGTTTTCTGACCTCTGACAAGGAGGGTTGCTTTGTTATTTTACCTGATGGGCTTTTTCAAACAAAGGCGTTATCGGCAGTTAAAAAGAATTTTGTTCCTGTTAACAAGAAAGCTAGCAAAGTCAAGGAGGAAGCTGTCGCGCTACTTTTGAACCACAATCTGGAAAAGCTTGCTTCTACTGTGAAACGTGCGACAAATTTGCACCTGGAGTTGTTTTTTGCAGCAAAAACTCACAAGCCTGACGTTCCGTTTAGGTGTATTGTATCGGAAAGGGACTCAT